GAAGATTTATTTCAAGATTTTGTCAAGGGAAAAAACAATACTGACATTATTAAAGAATGGTAAAGATTATGTTACTTAAAAAGGAAAAAAAACCTCACTAAATGAAAAAGGAAAATATTTTGATTGTAGGAGAACATTAGAAATATAAGTGCTGGAAATCTGAAATAGAGTTGAAATAGTGACTTGGAAGGGAAATTAGTGTGTAGTTGCTATTAATGTAATTGATTGGTAATAATAAAAAATAATCTATTTCTGAAGTATTCTTCATTATGCTCTTGTGGAAATGTTAGGAGGCAGTATCTTTATGTATTGAATGACAAAGTTGCTAGTTTATGTATAAATTATTCATTTGCATTAATATCTTATTTCATAAATTTGTCAAAATGAGAATAGATTTTGTAAAAGTAATCAACTTTAATAAATATATTTTATACATTAATCATTATCCCCCCTGCCTAAGATGAGAAAAGCAAACAGAAATATATTTTTAATTATACAAAATCAACCAACAATGAAAAATTTAGAATAGAAAAAAAATTGCTGTCACTCTAAATTTATCCCCTTTGGAACTTTTTCAAATATGGTTTTCTAAAAAGATTATTTTGGCCATATTTTCTTGTAAAATAATTTAAGAAAATTCTGAAAATCTCTGCCAAAATCATTTAAATTCAAGGGCCAAAAACAAATATTTAAATTTCACACATTTGGACTAAAAGACCTGATTTACAAAACTAATAAAATTTGGGCTATGGGGGTAAAATATTAAGCAAATTCCAGGTCTACTGTATTCATAACTTAAAGGAAAAGTTAATCCCTGAGAAAAAAAAAAAAAAATCATTTTCATGCTAACTGGTTCTTTAGACTTGTATATTTCCTATCTTGAAAATTTGCAATAAACTTTAGATCTTAATCTTAAAACAAAAAAGTGAGTTAAATTTGAACCAACTGAACAGATGCACAATTCCAAAATCCAAGGATACTGCAGTTTAAGGTAATAGCAAGGCTAGTCTGATTGACCATTTCTACAGAGTAATGAGTTTGATCCTAACTGGATGTTCCATACAAAATTCAAAATTAAATAACCCAATAACAGTTGACATTTTGTATAAATCAATACCACATGCATATATTCTAAACAAAGCAATGAGATTTGGATTGGCCATTATCATAAAGTGCTTGATATAAAAACAAAAAAATTATTTTCATTGCAACCCGTTTTTAAGCTTCACCAGGAACTTATAAAATCTGTAACAAATTGTTTGTTAACAGACACTACTTAATATCAGACTTGTACATGCCAAACATCAAGTCTAAACAAAATGTCAAAGTTGTTCGATCCTTCGAATACCAAAGAATTTGTGCACAACAGGACTGGGACTTTTCAAAATATACTAAGATACTGCAATTTTCAAAATCTACCAAAAATTTACAAAATTACCTGTATAAGAATTGGTAAAGGAATTTTTTTTCTGAAATTGTCAATAAAAAAAATAAATGACTATCATCTTGTAAAATGTCCAAGTGACAAAAATTTACAATTCCAACTTACTACAAAATGTCTTGTTATACTATAAATACATATAATAATGGAAAATGAAAAAGAAATTCAGAGAGAGAAGGAGAACTTGGCCTCACACACACACAAAGAAACAAGCAAATAAGAATAAATAAGATTAATATCTCAACTAAAAAAAAAAAAAGAAATAATTTGTACTACATTCAATTTTTAAATTTACTCCAGTACAGTAATTTTACATAGAAAAATTGCATTTATTATATTTTACAGTGTATTAATAAGCAGTTAATGATTTGACACTGTATAAAATGGTAATATACATTTATGCATGAAGAAAAAAATTAAATTTCAATGAAACTGAATTTATGCATCTAATGATAGTTATTCTATAATTCATAACTTATTGATTAAAATCATCTAATCATTTTAATTTAAACAAGACTAATTACAAAAATGTTCTTTAACTTAGATTAAAATCAGAGCTTTTATTTGTTTTTTAGTTTATCTCAGTGGAAATACTTGAGACAGAATGATATCTTTAAGCAGTTTAAAAACACTCAGCCACAGAGTGGAGATAAAACTACATTAAAAATTATTATTATAAAATGCATAGTATGTCAGTTTTCATATGCTGTAAAATGCAATAGAATCTGGCTCAGGGATTAACAATGAAATCATTAATTTTTGGAAGAAATACAATATCTAAAAATAAACATACATTTTCTTTGTTTTGTCTTGAGTGTTATTTTAAAATAAAAACAAATAACAAAAAGGTTATAATATTTTTAATAAAATTACTCCTGCATTTAACCAAAATGAAATAAGAAAAAAAATAGAAATATTTCTCCAGGTCTTTCTGAAATAATTCTTAAAAAATAGGGTTAAGTGACCTTTCAAATCAAAGAAGTCAATACAAACAAAGATATTATACCCTTAGACACAAATATGCAAAGTTTGTTTTTTTTTTTCTCTCTCTCGTAAATTTTGAAAAAAGAAAATCATAACAATGAGAATTCTGCATTTAGTTTTCTTCTTTCAACTGAACAATTTTGGTTTATTAAGATTATTTGAGATTGCAGTTAATATTAAAAAATATCAAATAACCAAACCTGTACAGTTATTTGATATTTTTCTAAGTAAAACTTGTAATGTAAAACTTGTAATATAAAATAGCAACAATACAGACATTGACTTAACTGGCAATAACAACCTTCTGAAAGCTATCAAAGCAATAATGAAAAATATATTGCATCATTAAAGAAAAAAAATCAATTACTGCAATCAAAAAATGTCAAGCTAAGAAAAGTAGAGTAATCATGTTTTGACATTCAGAGGCTATTACTTACTTATTCTTAATACCAACATATTTGGTCTATAAAGTTGGAAATTAACAAAGAAGCACTAACTTTATATGTAAAATATTTTGGCCTTCATTCATCAAATGTAAAAATGATTTGGTCCCAATTGTCAGATTTTACAAGGCACAGCTTTGGGTTATTAATACAATAAAAAATAAAGGAGATAAATGTTTGTTCTGAAAGAAGCAAGATGGGGGTTATAACTAATTTTGTTTTAATTCAACAAAATATTTTTCATATATTTATACAATCACTAGGTATAATAATCATCAATGAAATTATCAATACTCTAGTTTAATGTGTGACAAAGATTGAAAACTGAATCTGAATTGTTTAGAAATGTTTACAATATAGTGAAATTAGCATCTTCCCTTTCCAACTCATCTGAAGTTTAGCTACAAACTTAATCCAGAATTCAGATTCCTTGTGATTGACTTTAAAGCACTCTTAAGTTACTACATTTGGTGCTATACCATAAGGTTTATCTGCTGTTTTATTTGATTGTTGCCAGTTTATATCCAGAGTTGACTATTTTTGAGAAAAAAAACATGACATATGAATAAAAATGTGAATCATTCATGTGAATGCTTCACATTTTGAGGTAAAAAGAACAATTTAATAGTTCAAATACAAGAAGTTACATTTGATCCAATATACGACAGTGCAAAGACTATATCGGAATATTATGGATAAAGTACCCTAAAGCATGACTTAGGCTTCAGTTTACAATAAAAGAAAGATGATTTTGAGCTATAAAATCAATTTTGTTCCTAATATAATAGTGTCAAATTTAGTCACCATTTAAGTTCTTAGTTCACAAGGTTTTCATACTTTGATCCTTCAACAAATTCAAACTTTATAATTGCTGTTGAACCATAAATTCCCTGAGAGAATAACTAAACATTCAAGTTTATACACAAAGAGTATCCAAAAATGAGCCGATTAAAAGTGCATCATTTTTGATAAATTCATTTGGGAGTTCAAAAAAATATATGATGTTTATAATGATTCAAATGTCAAGAAAATTATTCCAATAATATTAAAATTTATGCCAACAATACAGCCAGGATAAGTGTGTGTGTGTATATATATATATATATATATATATATATATATATATATATATATATAATTTAATATATATTATAAACAATAGGAATTAGGATTACTCCATAATGTTGATGATCATTTCACATTGTAAATTAAATTACAAGCATTTTCAAATCCATCATGTTAACAAGAAAAATAAAAAATCATTTTTTTTATTTTTTATGTTAAAATTTTTTTTTTTTAAATTTAATTTTAAAAAAAATGTTTAAATTTTAAAAAAATTTCTTTTTTTCTTGTTAAAAAAAAATTATTTTTCTTGTTAACATGATGGATTTGAAATTTGTAATTTAATTTTAATTGAAAAGGTAAAATGATGATCATCAACATTATGGAGTAATCCTAATTCCTATTGTTTAAAATTTATATGTTCTGTTTGAATAAAACATTGAGCTCTCTCTGTGAATCAGTTTTAATATTTTATGATATATTAATAGGATTCACTTGGATTATATATCAACTGGATTTCATATATATATATATATATATATATATATATATATATATATATATATATATATATATCAATTGTAGACATGAGAGTTGAGTAGATGAATTTGACTATTCAAATGGCAAAAATCCTGTCTGGTTATGTTGGTCTTCATGTTTATTTCCTACATCCATGTAGAAAATATCATATTTAAAATTACTGGAATAAAAGACTTAACTCATATTCTATGAAGAGTGATATTTTCCAATAATTTGCTACTTTGAAACCATCTCTGTCCATCTAAATGCAAATATCATTCTGAATAATCATCTTGTTAATAATGATCAGGGTTCTGATTATTAAGAAGATATGATTCAGAGTATTATTTTGATTGTGATTTCTGATTAGATTTTCACACACAGATAAAACATTCTGTGAGTCCCCAAACCAACCTATCAAAACAGAAGGTCAAATAATTTCACTTTGGATAGATTCATTTTGCAATGACCTATATACATTTATACAATGTGTGTTCATGTCCTAATTGATATATTGTTTGGCAATATTAAGTTTTGAAAAAAATTTAATCTTAAAAGGTAAATACAGTTAAAGGTGGAGAAGGGTAAAATAACAAGTGTGAATAACTTTCCTTTTTGTCCCACAAGACGAAAGAAAGAATTCTATAAGAACAGGAGTTCCGCTGTTGACAAGATGAAGAAACTAGAACTGTTAAAAGAAAAGAAAGAGCTAAACACCACAAAATAAAAGTTCTCATCAATTTCAGTCTCTGCATTGAGCTCCATTCATAAATGGAGAACAAATGGCTATTATATATTGATAATGAGTGCATTAATGATGCAAAAATTGTTCCAAGATTTTGCTGTTTTTTGCACACACCCCCACTCTGTCCAACCCTCGTTACAAGATTCTTTTCATCCATCTGGCCTGAATTTTTGTGCTATCTTCAATATTCATTAATAAGGAAATCATTTTCCTCAAGGAAGATCATCCTCCTTTTCATTAAAAAAATGTATTCCAATTTGAATTTTCACAAAAATTTGAAAAATATTTTCATGAGGAAAAAGACAGAATTTTTTTTATTTATCAGAAACAGTCAGTTTGCAAACTTATTTGCAGTTATCCACTATATATTCTGTCCACTTCTGACAATTCGAGTTTTATTTGAGGTGGCAAGTTTTCATTTTTGTTTTAGTTTTTCTTCTATTAATGGCAAATAAAATTGGAAGAAGAATAAAATAAATAAAAAGTTAATTTAATTTAAATTATTAACAAAAATAATTTAATTTTAAAAAATTTCTGAAATAGTAGTTGGGATGATAGTAGTATTAGTAGTACCAATGAAAATATTGTTTTTTCTTTTTATCTTTAGAATTTTTTTTTTTTGTTTTGTTACAGCTGTACCATTAGAGTAACACTTGGTCACTCAAACTGATCAATATTGTATCTGGTCACTACTGAATATGTGACTATTTGAGAATAAAAAGTTATAAATAAAACCATGTTAAATTGCATTCCTCAGTGTACAATTAATTTATGACAAGCTATATTTTCAACTGTCATAGCCAAATGAACAGTATAATGTGATAAAGAGCTTTCTAACATGCAAGAAATTCTTCCTTGCAGGCAATAGGCATCATTAAATACTGATTGGCTAACAAGTATACAGACACAGATACACACACACACACACACACATTTTTTTTTATTACTTTACAAAAGACAATTATCGATGTGTGAATTTATATGATCATTACTCATGCCTGGTTGAAAACTGACATTACAAACAGGACATTGTTGACACTGCATGACTTGTTGGTCCCCATCATGAGGCATCTCTGAATGCCGCTTGAACATCATGGTTATAGTTGACTGTCGGGGTTTCTTTGATACCCCACAATTGTCAAATTTTACAGAGTGTTTCTTCACTCTGTCATTTCTTGAACATATCCTACTGTTGTTGCAACTAACACTGGCATCATCATGAGTGAGGCAACTCACAAATGATGACGAGGAAGAGGAGGAGGAGGAGGAGGAGGAGGAGGAGCAAGATGGTGATGAGGACAAGGAAGAGGAATGCTGAGTATGTGACTGCATTAAAGAGCATGAAGGTGATGATGATGATGCTAATTGTGGTAAAGGCTGAACATGTGAATAATGATGCTGTTGCTGCTGTTGTTGCTTTTCCATTTCCAAAGCTAACTTTTGCATTTTATGGGGACTTCTACCTGTTCTGGATGATTTGAAGAAAGTATGCATAGTGACAGGTGGTGTGAAGGCCTTCACCAAATACTTTGAAACAACTGGAGTCACTTCTTCAATGACCATTTTGTGTGGTGTGGCACTGAAATTTCTCATGATATTATCAGTAGTTGGTTGCTAACAAAAGAGAAGATGAAACAAATATCAGTGTCAAATGAAACATTTTTAGCATATCTATTAATCACTGTGGAATAAACTTAATTCTTTAGTTAATAAAATACTGACATTACAATTAAATAAAAAATTTCTTTATTCATTTTTTAGTCAAAAAATTATTTTCTCATCAAGTGCAAAGTGCTTAATAAAAATTCAAATGAAAAACTTTTCACATGTCTTTCCTGCTATATTTTATTTATTTTTTTAGTGAAATATCAGCACACACACTCAAAGAGATTTCTGAACAATGTTACTTATGTTCTCAATATCACTTCTCAAAATTATCAACAATAAATATCAATATTTCTAACATCACTAGTGACTCAATTATAACTTTTGTCTAATATTTTAATAAATAATTTACTGCCATAAGATGTGTTGACTAAAAGCACCTATACTTACACAATTGGTTGTTGTTTGGACACGGTTGACAATTTGGTGTTCTTTAAGGACCTTCTCTGCCTCTACAATAAGCTGCTCAGGATAACGGATGCCAACAACCCGTTCACCATTGTTCAGTCTTATTCGTACCACACGGATTGAAGATTCAGCTTTGCTGAAAAAGAATAAAGAAAGAAAGAAAATAAATAATATATTAGTGACAAAAAAAAAAAAAACTGAGCACACAAAACACAAAATGACTTAATAAAGGTAGATATGAAGAGAAGTGAAATCAGGAATGCAGAAGTAAAGATAAATAATTTTTTATTTACCTGAGGCGCATATTGTAGGAATGGCGTGCCATAACAGCTTCTAACACTGACATCAATGTCACAATGCTGCCACACAGAACATGCATGCGATAACAGCGACTACCAACTGCAAGGAGAAAGAAAGAAAAGTATTAATGATATATTTTACATGTCTTTGCAATAACTAACTTTTTGAATAAACTACTTAATTTCAGATTCAAAAATGTACAGTGAAGAAAACAGAACTGATACAAAATGAAAAAAAAAAAAAAAAAAACCCTGGAAAATTTAATTTTCTTTTCTGTCACTAGATGAATGTAGATCTAGACAAATAATTTAAAATTTCTTTCAATTTTCAGCTGAACAATTTGGTAACATTACCTGTACAGGAGCTGCGGTTCCTACACAACCGACCGTGCATGCAGTGGTCCTCAGTAGCCTCATGTTGTTCTTGCCAGGCCTTTTCTAGAAGGTAAGAAAAACAAATTTTGATTTCATAAGAGAGATGATATATGTGCATGAAAGAAGAAAAAAAAAGAAAGAAAGAAAGAGAATTAGTAATGAGAGTGCCTATTACAAAATAAGTACAGGATATAATATGTGTGCATGTGAAAGAGACAAATAAAAAGAAGGAAAGACAAAAAGTGTAATGAGATAGGAAGGATAAAGTGATTACATTAAGAAAGAGACAAAAGTGAAAAACAAAAAGAAATGCCTGATAAATTCTGATTACACAGTTTTGTTAATAAAACAATCATTCTATTCTATTTTTTGGTTTCTTTTATAGGTATGATACAGCATTTTGCAGCAACCCAGACCTGATGCCTTATTTTGGTAAAGCTCTTTGGGAACTGCCCATTTTCAAAGGTCTACAACTACAAAAAGTGGTATAAATGGAAAAATAAAACAAAAAATAAAGAAAAAAATATAAATGAAAACTTTGCAGCTGTAGAGGGAATTTCAATTTACATAACCTACTTGTCTCAACCCTGACTACAGTTTACAATACAAAGGAGCAATAATATTAATTATGATGAGGACGGTAAATAAAAATGATGAAGTAAAAATAATAATGATAGCAGCAGCAATAATGACAACCATAAACAACATTGTCAAAAAGTTTACAAGAAAAATAATCAGGAAGGAATTGAGAACAACAAAAACAAAAAAATGAAAGCTGATATAAAAAGGAGAAAAATAATGGAAAAAAAAAATGGAGAAAAAATAAAAAGCAGAAAAATATTGTTTCAATGAGGAAACTTAAAATTTATTTTCATCGAAACAAGAGACTTTACATATACACATAGCAGCACACATACATACGTGTGTAACTGAAAGTATATTTGTGTATGTATGCGCGCACACACACACACACAAAATGGATTTTTACTGTATATTATGCATCGAACTAACTAAAAAAAAAAAATGATATTCATAAGCAATAATGATGATGACAGCAATAATTTCAATCAAAAAAAAAAAAAAAAGATAAATGAAAAGTGGGGGAAATAAAAGAAATGTACCAATTCTTTGAAAAAAAATTAACATTTACATATATGCATACATACATATTTATAAACATATATATATGCACACCAAATGCACACACACACACACACACAGTGTATCGGCAAATTTAATGATAATATAGATATAATAAATAACACAAAAGGAAAGATTCAATTTTTTATATCTTGTAAAAGTAAAAAGATGCCTCTCAAAAAACAAGGTTTACAAGAGGGAGAAGAAAGATTGTTTTAAGTGCTTGGGAATAAAATTATAAATTTTTGTTGACATTTAAAAATACAGACACACACTATATATATATATATATATATATATATATATATATATATCTTTCCGAAAAATTGAAAATTTAATTTTTTTTTTTAATGAAAAAGCACAAAACTCTTTTAAAAATATTACAATTACTTATACTTATCTTTCAGACATTATTAATCACAAAAACTAATAAAACAGTTACTGTGCATATACATACATCAATATTTATGTATCAAAAACATTTTTACTTTTATTAATTTTGAAATTTAGAAGAGCAGTTTAATATACTTTTCAACAGCACTAATTATTCACTAAAGAGCAATTTACAAAGGTTTTAAATTATAACTGTCCAAAAGATTTTCTCTCTTTCAATAATAATAATAATAATAATAATAATAATTGATAATCACCAAGAAAATTTGGGGAAATAATTTTTTTATTGATAATTGGTATGATTCAATGCACCTAAATTTAAACTGTAGTTTTCTCCTCATAGTTCTATCAAAATAATGTTGAATACAAGGCACCAAACATTGAAAATGAAAATGTTTTTCTCAAACTACAAATCCAAAAGCATGCACACTGCTCAATACTTCCTTCTCCCCAATCACAGTTCCCCTTTGTTGCTGTTGTTGTGTTTGTGTTTGTTGCTAATTTATCATGCTAATTATGTATATTATTAACAAGATGGCAGTGATCAGAATAACTGCTCACCAAAAAATCCACTTTAATCAAAAAAAATAAAATATTTTTTTTAACGTATATATATATATATATATATATATATACACACACACACACACATATATGTATGTATGTATGTATGCATATCTTTTTATGCCCTTCTTATAATAATGTATATCTGTATGTCCTTCCTTAAATTCTGAAAGTGAAAAATAATATTTAACCAAAGTTGCATAGAGATAACAAATTTGAAAATTTAAAGAATTTTATTTAAATTTCTCTGAGAGAAGAAAAAAGATAAATGATAAAAGCAATAAAACAATATCTCCCTACACAAAAATTTCAAAAGATATACAAATAAAACTTTCAAAAAATATTTATTATTATAATAAAAATATAAAAAAACACAAACTAGATACATCTGTTGTGTTCATATGCTAAAAGAGGTTGGTTGGTTAGCAATGGGTCACCTAATATGACCTTCATTTTACTTCCATGCTGATCTCCACTCAACTTCTCAAATTTATATTCATTTGGCAATAATAAACAGTTTTTTTTTTGTTTTTTTTTAATCTCAAGTGAAACAAAAGAGTAGAACTTTAAAATCATATTTTGTAGTAGGAAAAACTATATATAAAATTTTACCAAATCAAACTTCCCAGTTTTTCAGAAGCCCCCCCCCCATTTCTTTCCCTTTTTACAATGTAAAAATTCTAAATCTTTCTCTTAAATCTTAATGTTTTTTTATGGAGAAACCATTGTAGTTAGAAATAAATATATTCAAAGGTTAAATAAATGTTACAAAAACTGAGTTAATTTTGAGCTTTGTTTTTCAAAAAATTAAAAATAAGTAAATAATAAAAAGACTTCTTCTAACTGAAGTTTTGATTTTTAGTTCAGGTGGGATACTATGTTCTCTCTACCTAAGCAGTGAAAGGAACTTCATGTTGCAAGAAAATGTTCAAAACAAAAATGATTATTTAAACAGACTAATCACACAAAATATTGTTACTGTAAGGAATTTGATCCTGTACCAAAGTAAACTTAACAAATATAAAGAATGCACAGAAATATATAAAATGAAAGTTATTTATGCACTTTAAGAAAAATGAAGAACAAAATAGACTCAAAAATAAAATATACATGTTGAGAGAAATACCTTTAAAATGTGTATTAATATTAATAAATTCAGTACGAACATCTACAATGATTGTATATAAAATTTTTACAATCTATTCAATTTATCTAAACACCAAGAGCAAAAATACTAAAGCTATTATTATTAATAATCATACATTCAATTTACAGCAACAATTAAACAAATAACAATTACTAGGTTAATCAATTTTTTTTTACACTGCATCTATTCACATCTAGATACAATGTTCAATTACTTCAAAATATAATGCTCTAAAACTTTTGAATAAAAGAAATAAATAAGTAAATAATTAAAATTTAAAAAAAATAAAATAAAATAAAAAAGATAATATTAGAAAAGAAAAAGTAATATTCCACAAAGTGGATCCAGTATAATGGACTTCACAGAAAAGCTAATTTTGCTTTCATAAAACTGTTTAACAGCATTGTTGAAGAGTCATCAAAATCACTTACTGGTAAACTCAAGACACTGCTAATTTAATCAGGACTGACTGGAGAAAAAGAATGTGTCAAGTAATTATCATTAGGCAAAAATGTAAGATAACAAATTTCTTATAAAAAAAAAATACTATATGAAATGTAGATATGTTTATTAATTTTAGTCAATCATAAGCATGAAAAGCAGGAGTTCAAACAAATGATATAGAAAAATAAACTTATATCAAATTATTTTTGAATTGAACATTTTCTACATAAATTATTTAAATAAATTTAATGGAAAATCTAAAGATAATATTTTCAATTTAGATATTCATAAAACTTTAGTAGTTATCATTTATCAATGATTTCCTTAAATATAGTCTCATAACCCAACAACTAAATTCTTAAGCCCTATTCTCAACCCAGGCACCTACCCCATCAAAGTAAAGCAATAAAAATTCATTCCTCATTTTTTTGATGGAAAAAATATTGGTTTAACCATTTCAGTAGTTGCTACTTTTACAAATTGTTTCTTTTTAATATATGTTGACAATTCTCCCGTTTAAAAAATGAAACTAAAAACAGGAGAACACAAACACACAAGTTTTTTGTTGTTTTATTTTTTTTAAATAAAATATCAAATCTATGTATCTTGTACATAATACTAATATCCAACTTTGAAAGCAATAATCATACAGTGCACAACTGACAATAGATGTTTGAGTTTACTTACTGATATAGAGAACCACAAAGTTGCCATTTGAAAAGTAAAAACATTCAAATGTTTTCAGATCAGAACTTTTTATTCTCTTATCCTGCCAAACATCCACTCTCACTTTGAGGACAGATTTTTATTTGCCCCAAATATCACCCTTACAAACAGCAATAAAATTATTATAAAAGAAGAGATGTTTCATTCATTCTTTACTGTAAAGAAAAATTTATTTTCTGCAAACATTATCACAATTATTAATTTAAAACAATACTTCTTTAAGCATTATCTTAAATATGAACCCATTTTATTTTTCGTCTTTCTCTTTAAAACAAATGCTTGGCATTGACTCTTTCAGTAGATTCCAACTATCTTACAAACTATGGATAGCTTTGCCTCTCAGCTTACAATATCATTAGCCAAGACTAGCAGGTCATATAGCAACTGCAGTCAGCATATTGATGGATTAATAAAATCTATGTCACCTTTGGGTAATTGGCATGACTACACTTGCCAAAGAATAAACCCTCACCAGCCTCAATATTTTTAGCTAAAATATGAGCCTAGAAATGGACATGTTAACTTTAATAACATGCCTAAATCTAATACCTAAGACTCAGTAAGTCTGGAAGAAGGGTGTCAGTAAAATGAATGGCTTTAGTCTGAGCCAAATTATGCACAACCATGCAGACTTAAGGTAACGTTTTCATAAACAATTCCCATTTAAATCATTATAGTTGTATGCTTCGAAGCATGCATGTTTAAATACAAAAATTCATTCACTAAACCAAGCAATAATGAATTAATATTAATGTTATTTAAAATATGATTTTTCAAAAATAAGATGTAAATATTTGAATCAGGTGAAAGTATAAAACCATTTGTGATTGAACTTATTCAATGTTCAGTAGCAGCTTCATTACACTACTCCTGATATTAGGTGTCTCTCTCTCTCTCTCTCTCTCTCTCTCTCTCTCTCTCTTATTTGCGCAATATATCCCTCTAGAGTGGCTGGTTGAGCAAGATTTAGGCCCAGTCACACATGCACACATGCATTGCACTGCTACTGACCACTTAAAGGCGAGGGGGCTCAAAAAAGGCTGTGGCACATGTCCTTATCACATTATCATTATTACTATTATGTCATCAAAATGAATTATATACATTTATATATAATGATCAACAATTGTTTACCTCAAATGTACTTTCTGTAGAGAAAGTTTAAATATATATCATATATTTCTAGTACAGGTATATTTCATTAGTAACGTATTCCATAAGGCTGATGTGATTTTTTGAAGATTGAATTTCTTTTTTAACTAATAAGTGGAATTTCAATTATCCAAGTCCAACTATAAATGTTACTATCCTACACTTCAAGGACAAGTTCTTTTTAACTATAAATGGAAAAAATGTATACAAGAAAACCATAACATGTGCGCACACACACACACACACACATGTATACATATACAAAGTTGATAAGTGCTATCTACTTCCTCCTCCTTCTTCTTCTTCTTCAATAATTATAATATAAAAATACACACAAAAATAAGGGGGTGGGTAAGAAAACATGCTCCCACTTTTTAAAATTATTTCTTTGTCCTCAAGTGAATGCAGGATGAGATTGTGGAGTGCTTTTTTTTTCCAAAAGCAAAACATCATTGAGTGTGTGACATTCAATATTTAGTCATATTGTTATCCATTTTTATTTATTAACAATAATGAACAGCCTTCAATGTTTTTCTTGTTTTTTTTCTTTGGAAATTGTAAACTGACTTTTCTTTGCAATGATGGCCGACCATTAATAATTTATCTTGTTGATCATGCTTTTTTTAAAAAAAAAAAAAAAAAAAAAAAAAAAAAGATGCCAAGGATCTTATTTGAACTGATTCCACATCTCATTATACAAACTTGGTTGCATTTGTTCATTTCTTGCTTTTTTCTCATATTATATATATATATATATATATATATATATATATATATATATATATATATGTGTGTGTATGTGTATGCAATTTGCAAGGAATTTTATTGTTATTGCTTTTTATTATTATTAAAAAAAGGAAAATTGAAAGAAATGTTTTACCAAGAAAAAAGTGAAAAAAAATTTCACCCATGGTGGGTTTACTTTACTTTTTGTGCTTTGAATTTTTTTTTTTTTTTACTGAAATAAAATTTATGGCACTCTCAAGATATTCAAAACAATGTTTTTATTTAAATATATATCCACAAAATGTATAGCTTTTCAGAAGTATTTTTAAAATATTTACAATAAAAATATACAAAAAGCATCATCAAAGTAAATTTTAATCAAATAAAAAAAGTAAAAATCTATGAAATTTAGCTTCTGTCTGCTGTATTAGAGAAAGTGCTCAAAAAGCAGAGCTATAATACCAATAATAATAAAATCACCTCCTCGGTGGCTATTTAAGAAGCAGTTCATATGCACATTTTATTCTAAAAACTATCACAATGAAAGGACATGTTCAGCAGATAAGAAAAATAATAAATCTATATATAAGAATGTGTGAATGAGTAGTTGTGTGGATGTGTGCATAAATATAACTAAAAAGTTTAGATGTCTAAGATTGTGACATAAAACTAAACTCTACAACCCAATGTTTTCAAAGTCCCCTATACCTACCCAAAATAATGCTTTTCAATTTTCCATATATTTTATTGATAACAATGTAAAATGTAATTTTAAAAAGTGAAACTGATTTTTAAATATAAGTAGAATAGGTAGGAGATTTTAACTTTTAAAAAATATTTTGATGTGAGTAGAAAAAGGAAAAACCATGTCTACTGCCTATTGAAAGTGAAAAGTAAGCATGTTACACGCACAATTTCAACAAGGTGAAGACGAAGGCCAAACAATTCATCCTTTCTAAGTCCTTTGCAGAACAATTGACAAAGTGGATTTTAGATAAAAATGATGATAATAATAACAACAAATAATAATAATGGCAGGTAATAAAATAGTAATGAAAAGTAGTATTGAGCTACCTACCAGCTGGCTAGGCATAGATACAGGGGTCAGTGATGCTTATCAAGAACAATACCTATCTATATCTGAACATCTTCACTAATAACAGACTGCAGCCAAGTTTTTGCCAAAACCAGATGCATCTCTGGGCATGTGTTTTTATCAAGCATTCTACGTACATAACAATTGTTTTCATTGTGAGTCAAATTTGTCAATGCATCAATATAACCAAGCCAATAGCAGACTACTAAAAACAGGAAAAGAAAAAGCACAATGCTGATTTTCTAAGCCTGTAACTTTAAATTTGAAGGCAATAAAACTAAAGGAGACAGCAGATGTTAAGTGACTGAAGAAAAGGAAGGGAAAAAACATTACTGCTAATATCTATTCCTCATCTTGCCTTCACTGAAACATATTTTAAAAATTTTCTGAGTAAAATTAATAAAAAATATTAAAAAATGACTAATCTATTCCCAACAGCCACACAAGCCAACCCTTCCCCATCTAATCCTACTTCAGCTCTACTAAACAATGGTAATAACACTCCTGTTATCAAAAATATTAAGTAGAAAGTCATAATCATAAAATGTACATCATCATTATCATTGTTATCATCATAGTAGTAGTAGTAGTAGTAGTAGTAGTAGTAGTAGTTTCCTGATAATGTTAATAATAATATTACTGGAAAACTACAATATCTACATTGAAGACAATATCATGATATTAATAATTAAGGTAAAAGATAACCACTGCCAGCATTATCAAGATATTATCATCAGTTCATAATAAGCTACCCTGTGAAACAAAACATTACAACAGTTGCACTTAAAAAAAAAAAAAATATATGAGAGAGAGAAAGCCTTGTATTTATAAATAAATATATACAATGAAAGTCACTTTGCTGTATCACATACGCTGAATACCCAAACTTATGTCACTAAAAGTATCATGTCTCATGATACAGAACATTGTCACTAAAAAATAATTTTAGAAAAATATTTCATGTACATGCAAACACACACTATATATATATATATATATGTGTGTGTGTGTGTGTGTGTGTGTGTATATATATATATATATATATATATATATCACTTCAAAGCAAATATACACATGGTGATAGTGACCACAGGGCACTAATGATAACAAAAATTGGTATTGCTGGAAAATATGTCAGAATGTTACATAAATAGAAGAAAATTCTATAGAGAAATAAATGTATTACACTATTTTAATTCTTTTTTAATAGTTAAATAGACTTAACTTTCCTTTCTTATTAAATGGGCTGGTATAGAAAATACTGAATAATATTTTTTTAGTTCCATATATTATGATGGAACTATATTAAAAAAAAATGGCTGTCTTCAAAAAAAAAAAAAAACATAAAAATAAGATATTAAGTGAAGCTACCACATTTTCTGAATTGTAAACTCCTTTGTCTTGAAATAAGCTGTTAAAAAATTGTTTCATATAACTATTTATTTATAGTGAAAACCAGAGTTCTTTTTGCTTACCATTTTATTCTCTTTTACCATAAAAGATAAAAAAATAACTATTCAAAAATGTTAATTATGCTGATGCTGTTTTTTTAATATGCTCTATCTGTTCCTATTTCCTGTATAAATAATGATACCACCAGGGACAAATGATCACTATATCGGATGCAACGATTTGCATGAGATTAATCATGCAGCCAAAATACACACAATCTATATGATAATTTACTATACCAAATCCAACACCATTAGATAATTGTTATATTATTATTAATAATAAAACTATTCAAAGTTTAATGAAAGAAGCCAGTAAATAAAAATAACTAATGACTTAAATTATAAATCATTATAACAATCATGACAGGCAAAGTATTTACAAAATGCAAATGTAAATGAAAAAGATTTTAATCAAATACTCACAGAAATTTCTTTCTTTTTTTTTTCTTCTTTACAATGAATGCAGGAATGAATGAAAAATCTTATGTCATTCTAATTTACTGCCTATTCCTATTTGTCCTGTTTAAGATTTCTTTATTATTTACCAACAAGGGTGAATAAAGCTTACTTAATACAGTTGTAGTGTTTTAAAGTGTTAGCTTCACAAAATCAAGATAAATTCTATCTTTACTACTAGTTTTTATTAACCAATATGAATTAACTATTATCAAATATTATTTACTTGTAAAGAAAAGTTAAAATGAATGCAGGAACAATTCCTCTAATCTGTCAGAGAGAGAGAGAAAGAGAGGCATACTTTTAATTGAAAAAATATTTATGAAGAAAAAAATGGTTAAGTTTTCTAAATTTGAGATGAGTTCTTAATTAAGTCTGTGGTAGTAAGCAATGGAGTTATCACAGACTGATTAGGGTCTAATCTCAAAGGCACCAAATTTTTACAGCACTTATAACAAAGTAATCTCAATTTGGAGATATTCATATATGTTGACCTTTTCCTGAATTAAGGTAAGCTTAGAAAATATATGCCAAACATGTTAAGATTTATAATAATGAAGAGATGTATTATTTTAATTCAATCTCTATGCCTACCTTCCATTTTAAGTACTCCATTGATACAACAAAATTTTTAAAACACTGAAAGAAAAAGAAATCTTACACACAAGTTATAAAGCTCAGAAAGAGGATAACATCATTGTCATACTACTATTATTCTAGCTATCATTACATATCTATAACAAATGATTATCCAAAAATCATCAATAAAATTTAATAACTGATCTGATAGCTTCATTTAAAATCTAAGTATTAAATGAATAATAAAAAAGCAATTATAACTACAATGATGTTATCAAAAATAATGGTAAACTAGTTCGTATTATTTTAATTTGTAAATTTTATAAAAAGTGGCAGCAATGCATGAAGAGAAAAGTCTAGAATTTTTGAGATTGTGTGAGCTTTCCTCAACTTTAACCCACTAATTAACAAAATACTTCACTCTCAGAAACACTTTTATAGTGTTCTACTATCTATTTCAGAAACAACTTTCTGTTAATATTTAAATAAACCAAGGAGAACTTAATTTATGTAAAAGTAGCCAATCATTTAGAATGAATTGATTCTAAGGTTAGCAAGAGTTGAAGAAAATAACAGTTCAATTTAAAAGACAATTGACTTTAATATCATTTTAAAAATATCTTGTTATATATTACATTAGCTTTATAGATTTAACCTCAAATACTGAAGCAACATTACTCTTATGCTGCAAATTTATTCATAATTATGTAAAATGTATAAAATTCATACTAGCAAAGGTGAGTCGTAATTAATGTACTGAGAATCAATAGAGTCATTTCAAAGTCAAACAATATAACTATGGAGAACCAAAATTACTTTAAATAATATATAAAATCCATGTCCATATAAAATAGGAATGTCAGTTTATAAATAAATCCTGACCAAAAATAACTACAAGTAAATAATCTAATTTCATGAACTTTCAATTCTTTGATGCCACTGGTAGGATATTTAAAACAGTTTAGTTTAAAAAAAAAAAAAAACAAAAACAAATATAAAACAATAATAATAGTAATTTGATAATATATGATGACAGAAATAATCACAAAGAAATTTGAGAAATAATGAACAAAACAAACCAAAAGGTAATAAAGATAAATTAGATTTTCAATAAGTTTTTTAATTTTTTAAATTAAAGATACATCTTGTTAACTCTTAAATAGAAAAATAAAACTGAAAATTCAAAAACTATTTTTCATTTGATTTATAGTTACTGATTTATAATTAGAACATAAATAAAATTCCACTACAAGTTATATATAGTATTGACTTCCTATAAAGCAATCAATACTTTATCTTAGTGATTTTATTCTAAAGATGATAATAAAAATAATACTAAATATAATTAATCTCTTATGAAAATGATAAGTCTATAAATATAACAATTTTTGTTCAAATTGATTTTTTGTATAATAAACTATAATTAATCAAATTATTCATTTATTTAAAAAATTTCCCTGAAGGTTTATTGCTAAAACAGATGATAGATAAAACTTAATTTCCATTGGTTAATTTTAAAGTTTCTTTTTATATAAATGAACTTTTGTTTCCAAATTCTTTTAAATAAATAAAAAGAAAAGGCAAGATAAAAAGATCAAAGTGAAAGGATGTATGAGAAAAAAAAAAAACCAAGCCTAAAGCAATTGGACACACAAACACACATTATATATATATATATATATATATATATATATATATATATATATATATATATATATATATACACACACACAAACACACAATTCTATTGTTATTTTTATGAGTAATATTAAGTCTTATGTTTAGCCTCAATTTTCTATAAAAAAATAAATCCAAACCACCATCTTGAGTTTGTCATCTTTAGCTCTGTTCTGTGTTTTACTTAAGCAATGGCTGTGGATGGCCTGTGATGTTGATTGAAAGGCAGAGATATGGCTTGATGTTTTATCCAATCCAATGTTATTTCATAATGGAAACCTGTTGCTGTCAAGTGATTTTATTGTCAACACTCTTATTAATTTTGTACACCTTTTTAATTGCACATATAATACTAATTCTACTAATGAACATGATGATGATTATTGTTACTCTGACAATGATGATATTTAAATTGACATTAAAAGTAAACCATTCTTTGTGCAATAATAATGTTATTGTAATGATGATAATAAAAACTTTGGACTGTTTGACTAAATGTGTTTGCTCTTGGTAGTCTGGTATAATCAAGAAGTTATTAGGCAACAGCTAGTTTCATCTAATTAGTTTCTAATTATTCCCTTTTTCAGCTTTGTTTATTCTATATTTTAGGACATTTTCTTTGGCCTAACATCTTTCAAATGCAAAAAGCATCAAAAGAATTTTCAAAATGTACATTTGCTAATGTGAAATTTGTACATCTGTTAAAAACACTTCACTTAAATTGTATCAGTACTTTTGTATGTAAAACAAAAGCAATATAATAAAATATTATCCTTAAAAAGATTTTAAGAAAAAAAACCAAGTCAAATAAGTGACATGCATGTCAGTGAAAAGGAAAAACATGCAACTGGAATAATTGACACTGATGGAAACTGAAGATTGGCAATTGATGTATAGAAATAACTTTTTTTGATCTCAAAAAAAGGTTTTTCCACAAGCAGACACTTATTGTTATGAAACACTAATTATCTGCCATCATCATTCATAAAATTCCACTGAGCTTAGTATCCCAGTTTATGACTATTTCCCACCAGTTAACCATTGTTATCTAACTTAAAACTAAGTATTGACTTATTTAAATACATTGAGTACTTCGCAAATTTAACAAATTAAGAAACAAAATGCATCAATGACTAATATTATATATATATATATATATATATA